TGATCTGCCCAATACTGTCGGAAGGAGAACAGTGGAGCTGTGCTCGCAGTTTCACCTCCCATTCTCGCATCTCCCCTTCCTTTCGTCCTTTCATGCTTTTGAGAGGATGATTGAGACATTTTATTTTGTATTAACTTTTGTTTGGCATCTGTGCAGAAGCGATGAGGGGAGAAAATATGGTATGTAAAATATGTATACCCTTGTTTTTCTTCTTGATGCTCTCCAGGAGGATTTAGCTGCTGACAGTTTAAAAAAAAATCAACCAGATAGTCTTAATAAAGCTCTTAAAATAAAAATTCACCCGGATCTTTCTAATTATACTTCAAGGGATGTGCCACCAAATGATTTAAAAGACCAGTGTATTATAAGGAGCAGTTATTTGAAGAAGAGGAAGGTAAATATATCGATGCAAATGTGTGATTCACAATTCAAATATACATGTGACAGAATCTAAAGAATTAGTAAATCCAAACGCCTAAATCTTTATAATCAGGCTTTCCTGAGATTACTTTACTATTAGTTTTCCTGTAAAATATGAAGCGGATTCACATTCTCCTTTTTTCTGGAAAATACGGGAAGCTTTAGTTCTTTTGATGACAATGGAAGATACTCACAAAAAAGATTTTGTGCTGGACCTACTTAAAAAAAATGTTTTTCACACTTGCAAGCCATCCATGTACTAAAGCTCCTCTCCTTGCAAGTCTGAATGTCACCTTAAAGAGTGACACCAGGGGAGGAAAACTGTCATGGTGTGGTTTTATTTCCTGTCTTATTTTGTAGTTTTCTGCTTCTTGTCTCCCTGGGTAACTTCACTTCCTGCCTTGTCCTGTCATCGTCTGTGATTGTCTCATTGTTTCCACCTGTGTCCAATCACCTGCACCTCCCTAGTGTAATTAAGCGGTGTGTGTCTCCTGTCACTGGTCGCGTCATTGTCTATCATCGTGGATGTCGCTGGTTCCTGCCTGCCTTTTGCCCCCAGTTCCTGTGTGTTTTTGCCCGTTGGCCTTTGTTTTGCTTCCTTTTCGACTATTAAAGTCGTTTTTGCTTTTGAACTCTGCATTTGAGTCCTGCCTCCCACGCATCCCTGACAAAAACAGGGTTCTGCTTTCCTCTATGGTTTAACTGTATGCTCTTGTGAAGTAAAACCACTGGAGGTGAGCAAAGAGGATTTTTAGGGATATCTTACATTGTTTTTTTATATTCTTTAATCCTGATCTTTTCAGATTAATCAGGTATTTTTATAGGAAAGGATTGTTGGAAGTAAAGCTCAGCTCCTGCTGTTGTAGGAGTTATTATTAAAAGGTTACCAGTTTAAAGTGGGAAATACATTTGCAGCAAGGATAAATCAATTTGCTGTAACCATAAGAACCGAAAACACTACTTTAAATCCACGTTTTCATAGTAAATAAATCCTCCTCCATCTCACTCACAATGTGATCCATTATTTTTGAAAACCTTATTGATTACACACACAAATATATTTATTTTACGACTTTCTCCACCAAGTACCACAAATGCCCCAAGGATGCAACTGACCCTACTGCCGCCACTGAAGTGGAAGTGACTGATGCTGTAACAAACGCTGTGACAGCGTTAATGGTGCAAAGATTCTTTACGATCTGCTCCTGTTACATTGCCGCCATTTTAAACTGTTGTGTCTCGTGTAGGTCGGAATATTAGGCCACACAAAGCTAAATGAACCCAAATTATGAAGAGGCAGACAAAAAGCAATGTAATAAGTATGAATTTCTTCTATTGTCACATGGCCTCGTAAATTACACTTGTCTTTTCCATAGCAAAATGGAGGAAACATAATGTGTGGTAACCGTCATAGATTACCAATCCAGCTTCTTTATCCAAGCAGCAATTTATTGTGATTGCAACGGTGCTCGGCAGTGCAGTCTTCCACTCATAGCTGTCTCATTCCATCGGTTGCATCTTCATGAAGACCTACAGTAGCCTTCTGGTCTACCAGACTCAGGTCCCCCAACGGTCAGATATTTCAGAGACCACTCCGTTCAGCCTGAGACAGTCTGGCCTACAGGGGGAACTTTCTTTGTGCGTCATAAGCTCTTCCTCTGCTGCGATTGAGAAAGCCCTGAAACCCCCCAAAACATGCAGATAGAGATGTTAATCTTTTTATTTATTTTAATTCTGGCTTTCTGGCTGAAGGAAGAACATTTTCCAGTCATTTCAAATAAAAATGGTTAAGCCTTGTACTTTTAGCTAAAAAGTGATATTGCAATCTTAAGAAAAACATATATGTCTATATATTTATCATACAAACAACCTCAGTAGGATATTAGTCAACCTCTAAAAAGGGAGCCAGTCGGTTGGGGTTACCAACATTGGTTAACCAGCAACTTTTATGAACTGATGATGAAAAGATGTGAGGTTTTATATTATAACATTTCTATTGCTAGATATTAGAGTGAAGGCAAGGCCATTTTTTTGTAGAGTACATTTCAACAACAAGGCAATTCAAAGTGCTTCACATAAAACCATTAAAAATATCCAAACGTAAAGTGAGGAGATTTACAAACAGTTAAGAACATTGATTGAAACATATAAGAAAAACCGTCATTAAAGGGATAAATAGAATAACATTTGCAGTGTAATTTAAGAATTCCGAATTGCAGAAACGGTCAATTAAAGGCAGTAGCAAACAGAAAAGTCTTTAATCTGGATTTAAAGGAGCTAAGGGACTCCGCAGACCTGCAGCTTTCTGGGACTTTGTTCCAGATATGTAGAGTAGAAAAACTGAACGGTGCTTCTCCATGCTTAGGTTTGACGGCCTACGGGTTCGTGCCGGTTCATAATGTATCAGCAGATCAGAAATGTACTTTGGCCCTAAACCATTCAGTGCTTTATAATTTAACAGTAGGATTTTGAAGTAAATTTTTGTTTGACAGGAAGCCAATGTAAAGAGCTGAGAACTGGAGTGAAATGATCCACTTTCTTGGTGAGGACTTGAGCTGCAGCGTTCTGGATCAGCTGTAGCTTTCTGATTGACTTTTTACAGAGACATGTAAAAATACCATTACAGTAGGTTCAATCTACTGAAGTTTTTCCAAATATGGTTGAGATATAAGTCTTGGATATATTCTTTAGGTGACAGGTTGATTTTGTAACTGTCTTGATATGACTATTCAGGTTGAGGTTCGAATCCATAATTATACCTAGATTTCTAGCTTGGTTGGTGTTTTTTAACATCAGTGATTGAATTGCTGACTTTCAATCGTTGATCCTTGTTACCAAAAACAATTACTTGTGTTTTTTATCGTTGTTCAATTGAAGAAAGTTTTGACACATCCAGTTATTGATTTCTTCACTGCATTTGCCCAGCCCCTGTATTGGATTGTAGTCCCCTGGTGATATAGTTATATGTGTGTCATCTGCATTTTTATATTAACACGCTGTTGTTTTCCATAATTAGAGCCAATGTAAGCATGTGAACAGAAGGTGCCCCAGTATTGAACCTTGGGGAACACTACATGCAATTTTCTTCAGCTCTGATGTGTAATTAGCTACAGACAAAGTGTTTTCGGTCTTTCAAGTAGGATTCAAACCAGTTAAGTGCTGTGCCAGAGTGTCCCACCCCGTTACTTAGTCTATCCAGTAGTATGTCATGGTCAATCGTGTCAAATGCTGTGCTGAGATTTACGAAATACGTACGTAATATATTACGTAATACGAAGACTGAAATTCTGCCATTGTCTGTGTTTAAGTGGATCTTGTTGAAAACCTTTACAAGAGCAGTTTCAGTACTGTGGTGCTGTCGAAAGCCTGACTGGAAAGCATCAAAAGTGTTATTTGCGGCCAAGACGCAGTTCAGCTGTTGAAAGAACGCTTCTTAAATTAGTTTACTTAAAAAGGGGCATGTTTGATATTGGCCTATAATTTTTCCATTGTTGTGGCGTCTAGATTAGCCTTATTATGAGGAGTGGTTTACAGCAGTTATAAAAGCTTGTGAGAGACACCTGAGGGGTGGGATGTGTTTAGAATTTTTAGGTCATGCGGTTTGAAGTATTTTTGAAAAGGTGTGTTGGGCGAATATCTAAGCAGCAGGTGGGTGACTCCAGATGTTGTACACTGACTGCTTGTCTAATTGTCTGAATTTTATAGATAGATATAAACTTTATTAATCCCCAAGGGGAAATTTGTGTGCAATAGCAGCAGTACAGTAAATAAAGTGAGAATAAAAAATGTATAGTAATGTTATACTTTTTTATCAGTAAAAAAGGAAGCAAATTGATTGCATGCATGCAAAGGTGGATTGGAGCTCAACCGCCACTGCCACTGGAGGGTTTGTTAGCCTGTCGACAGTAGCAAATAAGGCACGTGTGTTATTATTTTTAGTTGAGCGGCGCTCTCGAGGGCTGAGTGGGTTCCTTTACCTGGGGAGAAGTCTGGGTCTGCAGCCATCTTAGCTAGCTTTCCAGATAGCGAAGTACTACCACGAGTTGTGTGGGTTTTGATGTAATTTCTTAACATAGTCGTCTTACTAGCACGTTTGACAACACAAAGATGGTCTTGAAGGTAAAATAAAAATTTGTCGTGAGCTGCTCTGCATGAGTCTACTCCCTACATACTCCAACCGAAAGTATCCCACTTTCTTGATTCTTGTTGTTGTTTGTACCCTCTTGGTGTGGTGGAATACACTTATTGTAAGTCGCTTTGGATAAAGACGTCAGCTAAAGGGAAAATGTAATAGAGAAAATGCTCTTATTTTACATATTCTGTTGAGCTCCCTTGAGGAAAATTCCATTCCACTGTTTTGACTTGGCGATCGAGTCTTTGTGCTGTATGACAGAGGACCAATTGATTTCTATGACAAACGTGGAATTTGATTCTGTGTTTTGCTTGATTGTCAACTACGAACACTAGATGTACAAATCGTATATATTTTTGGTTTCAAGGAGTACTTCATCTTAAAATATGTAACCACTGTGGTTAAATCCTTATTTCAAGTGCTGTTTTTTCTTTTCATCTCTTCACAGGTGTGCACAGGGGGATGTGGTGACACACACAGCTTGGCTAAACCGGTCAAGTATCCTTTATGCCGGAGAAGACAAATGGTCGGTAGATCCCAGAGTGAGTCTGGTGACCCTTAATCAAGAGGAGTTTAGCATCAAGATTGAAAACGTGGACATGACAGATGAGGGGCAGTATGTGTGCGCAGTCCAAACAAGCAGCAGGCCAAGAACCACCTCAGTGCACATCCTTGTCCAAGGTAACACATACACTACTTCTACTCTACTGCTGCCGCTATTATACTACTAAATGATAATATTATAATTAGTCTGTGTCTTTATTAAAAATATTTTTTTATAAAGATCTATCAGCAATGTACCTATTTAGTTTGATTGGTGTCTAATGTGACCCTGTAGAGAATCTCTTCCTTTTGAATTTAAGCACATTCAAACCCTATGAAACTATGCTTATACACGGTATTTGTTTTTAATTCTCTACACTGTATGATGTCTGTTTTTCATGTTCATCAGCCCATGAGGGTAATCGTGAACAAACCACAGGGTGAAAACAGAAATGTGCTGTCGTTTTAAATCTCACTTCCTTATTCATTGCTACACTGAAGCAATTTGGGGCTATATGAGTTGTGCATATTCCTCCTTCACTACGCCAGGTGAGGTTAATGGGGAAGTTTGGTTTTCTCTACAAACATGATAAAACGATAGACATTTTAACACCACATTTTATTTTTGAACTGTGTTATGATATTTCATTTCAGTTATCTTTTATTCATAACTTTTGGACTCATTAACAATGCTTTTTATTGACTGAGGGATATATAAAAGGATTAAAAAAATGCTCATTGATGTTTAAGATTTAAGGCGTCGATGGCGAGGGGGGCGGCGGGAGCACCTCGCAGCATCGAAAAATTTTAGTGTTGCTAGGCTACTTACATCTCAACATCCACCCTGCACGGCGCACATTTTTTGTTTGGATATGTCCTGGATAAATGTCGTCAAATGATAGAGAGGTGAGAGCACAGCAAGGAAGAGTCACTAATAATTTCAACATGTTTCACCCGGTGGAATTCTGCCTTCAGCAAGGAAATTTACAACCACCTGTCTGCACTGTTGAAACGATATCATCCTGCCTGAAATACGCAGACTTGATAGGTCGAGTAGTACCACGTGAGAGGGCTTAACTCCAATGCATTGATCTGTGCTTTAAGGCACTGCCGTAAAGACTACGAAAGCTGCGCCCGTTGAAACAGTCCGTTTTTTAGCTTTAGGTCAAGGTCCGGATGGGACGGCTTCTGGGTTCGGATCCAGACCGCGGTCCGCCAGTTAGTGTACTCTAATGTACAATAGACAATAATTTACAGTCAGGGTTAGAAGCTTTCTGTCTGCTTTCTTTTCACAGTCTTTACATACATACAAAGGTCTCTGAATAAATTTGGTGTAAACTTTATCCTCTGCGGTGCAGTGGTTCACACGGTCTCCTGTGTTTCAAAAGCACGTTAGTTTAATTAGCGACTCTAAATTGCTCGTAGGTGGCAATGTGAGAATGGTCACATGTCAAGAGTGTCACCTGGGATCAAATACAAAAGTGAAAGGTCCTCAGAGGAAAAGGCACGAGTTGAAAGGAGAAGGTGCATGCTGGGAAGTTAGTTACTTTTCAGCTGATTTTGCCCACCCAGCAGGTTAGGTCAGCCGCTGATGCAGCAGGGGCTATAACACAACTCACTCAGGCAGCTGAGGTACTTTAATACCATTAGAGCCTGATTGCTGCCATAATTCATATTCCTTCCCCAAGACAATTCTGAGCATTTTGCCATAGTACATATATTTTTAGATTCAGGGTGACACACACATGATTACCTTCCATCAGGAACGGTTTATAAATCATAAAGGGGGCTGTCCCAATTTTGTTTGGTGTTTATATTGTCAAATTTTAAAGATCCCTGCACCAAAACATACAAAATAATAACTTATGTACTGCAGTCATGTTTAGTCTTTTTTGTTGCGGTTATTAAATCTACAATGTAAATGCTATGCATCTATTGATTGACAGGTGAAAACCAAACGGCGACAGCAGCAGAGAAAATTGCTTCTAATTGTGTTCATTAGAGGCGCTCAACAGCAAGTCTCCATGTATTTGTCACGGTGTGGTTCACTTCCCGTTATATTTTGTAGTTTTCTGCCACTCGTGTCCCCGGGAAACTTCACTTCCTGCCTTGTCATGTCATCCCCTGTGATCGTCTAATAGTTTACACCTGTGTCCAATCACCTGTACCTCCCTAGTGTATTTAAGCCATGTGTGTCTGTTGTCATTTGTCGCGTCATTGTCTTTTGCCACGCATGTCCTTGTCTTTCGTCGTGGATGTTCGTAGTTCCTGTCTCCCGTTTTTCCCCTGGTTCCTGTGTGTTTTTGCCCCTTGGCCTTTTGCTTTTGACTATTAAAGTCCCTTTTGTTTTTGAACTCTGCGTCTGAATCCTACCTCCCCGCATCCCTGACAGTATTACTGCAGCGTACTTGTTTTTCATCACTCAAAATGATTGCATTACTCATTTACTACTTGTAACAATGGTCTTAGAGTCCACTTTGGATGAAATATGGTATCAATTACCTGTTAGTTTACTTTGTGTGTCTTTCATAGATGGTCAGTCAAATAAAATCTTACAGGTTTAGAGAGGGCAGGGAATAATAATCTGACTCAGTCAGTTCTATAAACACCACCTATATGAACAGACATTTTAAAGTCAGTTAAAAACAAAAATGTAGGAAGGAATTCTGTTAAGTGTAGTTTGGTTGTTCTCATTTTCTCACTCAATCATTTTCAAATCCCGTTGATTCTCGCAGCAGCATTGTAGGTAAGCACTCAACAGGATCACGACTCTCTGATGACATCACAAGTGCAGGGAGCCTTTACATCTTGCGCCGCAAACTAAAAACACACCTCTTCAGACTCTACCATGACTAGAACAAATTGTAGTACTTAAATTGTACTTGTAATGGCTCTTATCTATAGCAAGTTGTAAATCGGCCCAAAAAAATTTGAAATTGCACTTTCTTGTTCTTTTTAGTTTGTATCCTTTATGGTTGAAATGCACTTATTGTAAGTCGCTTTGAATAAAAGCGTCAGCTAAATGTAATCATCCTCGCTTGACTTAAAACTATCAAGCTGCCAGAGCAAACGAGGATAACATTTCATTCATTATGATTATCATTAGCAGTATCAGTCTAAAGTGTTCAAGAATGTCTAAACATGACAGCTTGTATTAAATATATCTTAAACTCAACCTTTTGTTTGGTTTCCACAACAGCAGTTCAGCTTTGGCATCCACAGCTGACACACTTGCTGTATGCCTTTGTCATTCATGAAGGGTAAATGGGGATTAGGTTGCCATCCAATAAATTATTCATAGAGATTTGTCCTACAAACATGTCTGATGTGACTGAAACAAGTTAAAGCACTAGTGACACACTATTCAAGGGATTTTGGTTAATGATCGTCAAATGTCAAAATGAAGATGTTGCTTTGAAATGGAAATGACAAAAAAAGAGCTTGGAATGATCTGTCTGGAATGGGAAAAAAACATTTTATGAGCCATCCAGAATAAATCATCACCGTCAAATGTAGTCAACTTTGTCTTTATAAATAAATAACACCTCAGAATATCTGGAGACATTTTCAGATATGTTATGATAACAGTGTGACTCCACACAAAAACAAAAAACGCTCCCATTTAGTAACATCAGTTCGCATCTGGTAATACATTATGTATTGGGTCATATTCAATTGTTTTTATTGCCACCGGTTCCTATGCGACCATACAACTTTGAGAAGCTGAGAAACTAGCTTTTGGATATTTCAAACTTTTCTGCTCTAATCTCTAAAGTACGGTCCACACTAGCTCAATTTGAAAAAAGTGTCATGAGACAACTTCTGATGATTTGGCAGCATCCATATCTAAACGTAGCTACAAAACTAGGCAGACATCCCATTTATATGGCCTCTAGTTACATGATTTACAATAACACGTGTAACTAGTGTCAGCTTTTCTTGCCTGTGGATGCAAACATGTCCCTCCATATGCTGTTCAGCAGCTGAAACTCCAAATTGCGTCCATTGTAAGATGTGCTATCCTGCAGTACAGTCAATAAAATCAATTATTTCTTCTGAATGTATAAGAAAATTCAACCTTCATACATGTCTTTTGTATATCAAGGAATTATTGTATATTTATGAACACCATAACTTACCCATTTTAAAAGGTTACTATGATACTTAATATAGAAGGACCTTGAGGAGACAAATAATAAAAGAACAATAAATCATCAAAACAAAAACCTGATGTGTAAAATGTTGTCATTTATTCTCTTTCAACTTTTGTTATTTGCTTTTTGCAGTACCACCAAAAATTATCCATCTGTCAAAAGACATTGTGGTAAATGAAGGCTCCAACGTCACCCTGATGTGCCAGGCCAGCGGTAAACCCGAGCCTTCCATCAGCTGGAAACTCATCTACTCATCAGGTAACTTGTCTATTCTGTGAACAAGTAAATTAAGTACTCAAAGTTCTGCTATATACCGCTTACATGTATCACATTATGGGTTCTTTCTCTTTAACCTCCCCTCTTTCCCTTAGCCCCCTCCCGTTGATCGGCCCATCGTTGACTTTGTTTGACTCCTGGTTGATTTCTCGCCTCACTTATTACCCATCATTACAACGTAATGGTTCGCAGGAAAGTAAACTAACCCTGTTGTTATTGGACCAATTAATTAGGATGGAAGTAAATGTTCTGCAGGCACTTTGAATGGCATTATGAATGCAGGGAGCATTGTTGATGTCTTGAACATTATTCATTCATCAGCATGCAATGACATGTATGTCCAGAATCAGGATAGTTGTATTGTGCATGCTCAATGACATTTATTCCATTGTGCTGTTGGACTTCCTTGTTTTCCTGCTTTTTTTTAAGGGAGACCACACAAATGCATGATACCCATAATACAATTCAAGTCAAATGGTGAAACGCCTGGAGGCTTTGATATCTACAACAACTGCGACGCCTTAGAGCGAGATGCTGCACAGATTGCAGTATCTTCTTGACTCATGTTGACTTTCTGTGATTAGGTCCCATGAGGTCCTCTGTAATCTCTGCAGCATTTATAAACCGATCCTCACTGCCTTCAGAGATGGGGAAACAATAAAGCAGAATGTATTTTGATACAAAATACCCCTCAAATACATGTATTCAAATAAAATACAAAATCCTGGTGCCAGAAAAGAAACATATTTTGTATTAAAAATGTAGAAAATCTGGATCTTCCGTTTTCTAAGTTTTAAATAAAGCTCTGTTGAACCCCAGAACAGTACAGAATGTGACCGTAATTAGGCAAAGATATTAAAAGACAACAATATATTGGATATGTAAGTGTTTTTTTTTAACAAATGAATATAGCTCGCAGATGTCATGGCCATCTGTGAGCTATAATTTACCAGTATTTGATATGGCATTCACATTAGATACAGCATTTGTAATACAGGTCAAGATTAGATGGTCAGACCACTCTTGATATGGTTATCATGAACATACAAGCTCCCAATGTTCCTCTTCTCATAACAACTTGCTAAACACAAGCCTCGCCTAATACTAGCGGGCATGCTAGCGTCATTAGCATGTTAGCATTGATCGATACCTTGATATTATAACTATCATCATGTATATACGATAGGCTTTGTAGCTAGACAAATTACAGTGCATCCGGAAAGTATTCACAGCGCTTCACTTTCTTCACATTTTGTTATGTTACAGCCTTAATCCAAAATGGATTAAATTCATTATTTTATATCCATTTTGGAATAGGGCTGTAACATAACAAAATGTGGAAAAAGTGAAGCGCTATGAATACTTTCCGGATGCACTGTATACATCAAGGCAGTTGACATCTATCACACTCTGGCTACACCCTTATGAACATTGGTCATATTGTAGCTGATATTATATTTGATGTGGTGTGATGATGTTTTGCATTCCATATTTTTCTTTTGAGACATTGTCGAGATTTTACTTAGGTCTGATTTGGCAAAAGTTAAACCAGTTGCCATTAACCAGATACTGTACACCAGGTCTACCAAGAGTCTCTGTGTCGTTCAGTTCTGAGGTTGTGACCTAATCATGGTGTCTGGTATTATTGGATGGAGCATTCTTAACAGCTTCACCAGACCCCGATCTTTTTCTGCGGGAGGTTGCAATCTGTTGTGTCCCAGCTGGTGCTATGTCATTTTGGATAAGCCTAGCTGTCGTCTCTAGGGAGTGCTGCAAGGCCCTAATCGCATCATTCTGCTCCAACAGAGGTGCTTGTCGGACGGTCGAATAGCGTTTGAACCCCCTTTACTCCCACACCTTTACAACATTGAAATTGAGGGAACTGCAAATGTTAATTTCTAACTTTCCAAAACCCAGAATCAAAACCACATTCCCACCCACTTAATTCAGAAACTACCCAGGTGTGCGCAGCTGAGAAATGAGCCATGATTCAAACCCTCTATTTTTATTTATGTCACGTTAGGACAATCTTTACCGCAATTCGGACCAGGGACAATCTTGCTAATTAACTTAATTAACTTCATCACTCATAACTCACTGTCAGTGTGGGTGGTCCATAATATCTATAAATAACAGAAAAATCTGGAGAATGCAATACAATAGACCAAATAATCATTCTTTCACCATTTCAGAGGTATCTATTTGATTGCATGAAATTACTATTACTTCCCGGCTGTTTTAGCCGAGAATAAATCAAAAATAGTACTTGATGAGGAAAAAAAAAAACTCACTTGCCTTTTCTTTTATTGTTCAGCCAATAACCCCATTTAACCATGATCATGAACCCAATTAGACTAACTGCACCTAAACAGATTTTACAGAAGGGAGGGCAGTCTCGTCACCTTTTTGTCAATTTCACTGTTGGTCAATGTGTAAAGCAGAGTTGAGAGTGGTCGGACAGAATTGATTGCAGGGTGAGAGGTGGGCCTCTTCACTTCATCCCCTGGTGAGTTTTTCCCTCCCTGGTTATTGTCTGACTTGTGCCTAATTGTTCCCACTTGTGTCAACTCACTTGCACCTCCCCAGTGTATTCAAACCATGTGTGACCCTTTTATTTAACTCTGAGACCTAGATATTGTGATGTCCTTGACTTTGTTCCTTTTGCTAATTAAAAGTTATTCTTTTATTTATCCAAACACTCACGATCCAATGTATGCAGGGACTGGTTGCTTATGTTTATCTATCTTTCTAAAGTCCATATCTGAGGTAGAACATTGATATTCAAGGTGATGAATTCTCTTTTTTTGCAGCCACCAACACATTTACAATTTAGGGATCTTAATTAAGTCAATAGTGGGATGAAAACGTTAAGAGTAGCTTTAGTGCCAGAAAGTGTCGTTTGGATTTTCCTCATGCATGTTGAAAGCAAACAGTGATTCAGTCTGTTTCATGTTTATGGTATTGTTGGTTTTCTCTGAGAGTTTACTTCTAATATGCTGAATTCTAGCTTCCATTTTTCAGTAGCCGTTTTTCCTATTATTGACTGAGGGCCCAATAAGTCATACAGCCCTCTCGTCCCTCTTGCTCAGACAGAGAGCAGCAGAAAATGTCCCAGTACTTTCTGAAGTCCAAACTTGTGTTCTAGTATCTGCAAAGCAACTCTCCTTCTGCCGGGGGCCATCCAGTGTTAAAAAAATAAATTAAATAAAGATCCTGTGTATGTGTGAATAAATATTGATGATTTCAGACCGGGGCCAGGGCTCTCACACAGCCGTGACCCAGCCTCCCCTAGCCTTTGATAGATAGATGGCTTTGGGGGCTTGTGGTGGATCAGAAATGATCCTCAGTATCTCCCACAGACCACACAACCTGACTGCAAAGTTTGTCAGCCCAGGCGGCCGGCCAACACCCGGTGCACGAGTGCGACCGGAATAAAGATGCACACTGAATTTGAATTTGGCCTCGGAGCAATAAAAGGTTTGCTAGATTTGCACATGCTCGGATGGTTGGATAGATTCATTTGAAGTTGGCAGTTATAGTAGATTGGTCCCTTTTTCACCCCTTTGAAGGTGAAGGGAATAACTTAATGCGGTTATACCATATCAATGCCATTTTAGACGTGCATGGCAGTGTTAATTCTAGCACCTGCTTAGCTTTGGTCTTACTTTTCTGATGCAAATGTTTTTTTTCTTCTTCATTTGAAGTGATTCTGAATTCACTCACATGTTTACGAAAGCAAAGTTCACTGTTTGCCTTAAGCTGAGACGAGCAGCTAAATCCAATAACACACATCATTGGTATCGTAAGGTTCCTGAAGTAACACTCTAGAGGACGCACCAATCCTCCATGATCGCCTATAAGCAAGCAATATACCCAGCAGTCAGAATCAGGAACATTTTTTGCCAAAATATGTTAGACACAAGGAATTTGACTTGGTGGTTGCTGCATAACATTAGACAAGACAGATAGGACAACATAGTAGAATAGGATTTTTTTTAAAGTGCACTAGCGAACAGAAAGTGACAGGTGTATGTGGAGTCTGTCAGTGGTAGACCCGGGCTCTGTTGATGAGCCTACCTGCCGACGGGAAGAAACTGTTTGCAGATTGCAGCCGATCAAGCTCTCTGCAGAGCGGATGACACGCTGCGGCCTGTTCTTGGTTGTGGCTGCAGCGTACCAGACGGTGATGGAGGAGCAGAGGATGGACTCGATGATGGCCGTGTAGAAATGCACCATCATGGTCATTGGCAGGTGCCATTGGGTCTCTCCAGAAGAGAGAGGGTCGTTGCTGGTGAGGGTGGTGGGGGAGAGGAGGCATGAGCCCCTGATGGGCTGGGGGAGGCAGGGATGAGTGTCTGGAGCAGGTTGTTGGGGGAGTTCGGGGGGCACCCCTCCGCACTCCTAAATGCCTGATCCTTTTGCAGTCGTCAATCAATGCAAGCAGGCTTGGAACCAGGGAACTATAAAAACTGACTGGCTTTAATGGTGTTGATGAGGTGATGTGCTGCAGGTGAGATGGGGAAGGAGAACCAGGTGAGGGCAATGAGCTGGTAATGTAGGAGGATCTCAAACGACAGGAAAGGTAGAAAACATGCAGGTGCGATGATAACAAACTAGGATGCAGACAAATGTAGTTTGTTTATTTCATACATTGTAAAACTGAAAGACCAGATATTGAATGTCGGTTCCTTATACAACCCATCAAAAAAAACAAGAATGATAAAGTCAAATTCATCTGTGTAATTAATGCATTCGTAATCATTAGAGTAGCAGCACATTGGGAGCAATTTAGCATTATAAGAAAGCCTTCTAGTTGAGCTTAGCTTAGCTCTATATGTCATCTATCAAACAGCTTAGAAATATAAACTTCTACCCTACTTCCAGGGTTGCCAGGTATGTGTGAAAAATCCAGCCATAACAGCCAATAACCACTTAAATATAGCCAAAACTTTAATCGCAATTCCGTCTCAGAAAGCTTTACA